CCCTTACATTCCATATCAAATATTATATGAAAAGTGCTCTTACTCGGAAAACTTCTCTAGCGCATATTATGTATTAATATTTTTCTCATCACTTTTTCACTACTATACTAAAACTTTTGTAACATAAAATTATGATACATCATCATTTAAAAGCATCCCTATTAACATATTGAGTATAAGCCACACTATAATAAAATTTTCTTAGTTGATTTTTGAGATGCCCTGCTAAAAGAAATTTGTAGCTCCGTCCTGGCGGTGTGAATTTTAATCGGTTTATTTACTTAGGGTAAAACACAATTTTGTTGACTGCGTTTAGGCTCGAAATGGTTTGAATTTTTTGATTTTGGTCACTTTTTAGGTGTGTACACAACAAGTATAGATGCAGAACATAGCAGGGTGACTGTTACGGGGAATGTTGATCCACACACAATCATCAAGAAACTTGAAAAGAAGGGGAAACATGCGGAACTCTGGGGGGGCTCAAAGGGTTCAAATTTCAATCAAGCCCAGCTGAAGAACGTGGCAATGCCGGTACAGAATGCGAAAGGCGGGGGACACCAGCAACAACCACCAAAGGGCGGAGGAGGCCACCAGCAACAACCGCAAAAGGGCAGAGGAGGCAACCAGCAACAGCACCAACAAATGAAAGGAGGTAATGGTAATGTTATGAAGGTGCCTCAGAAGGCCCAGAAGTCTGTGAAGTTCAATCTGCCGGAGGCGGAGGACTTTGACGGTAGCGATTTCGATGAGTTTGATGATGAATTTGATGATGAGTTCGATGATGATGAGTTTGATGATGAAGATTATGATGATGAGGAAGAGCTTGATCATGGACATCATCAGATGGCTAAGAACAAGGTGATGGGTAATATTGTAAATGGGCCACAAGGAGGAGGGCCATATGGGAAAATGATGCCAATGATGCCAATGATGGGTGCTAATCATGGGCATGGCCCACATGGGCCTGCTGGGATGATGAATATGCATGTGATGAACGACAAAAAGTTAGGTGGTGGGGGCGGCGGTGGGGGAGGGTCTGCCAAGAAAGGCGGGGTAATTGATTTCCCTGTGCAAATGAAAGGTATGGGTGGAAATAATGAAAAGAAGAATGGCAAGGATGGAAATGGCGGAAAGAAAGACGGTGGAAATAGCAAGGGTGGGGATAAGAAACAAGGGGGTAAAAATAAGAAAGAGGGCAAAGATGGCAAAAAAGGAGGTGGGTTGCTAGGGTGGCTCAGCCGGAGTACAAGTATCGGACGCGGCGGTTACAAAGACGAGAAAGGCAAAGGCAAGGGTAATGGAAGCAAAAAGGGCGGGGGCAAAGATGGAAAAAATGATTTTCATGAGATTGATTTCAAAGGGAAAGATACCAAAGGAGGGAAAGGAGGCAAAGGTGGAAAGGAAAGCAAGGAGGGCAAAAATGGAAAAGGAGCCAAAGAGGGCAAAGGAGGGAAAGGCGCCAAAGGTGGTGATGATGGTGAGGATATGCGGCAAATGGGTTACATGGGCCAAAAGGGACAAATGGGTCAAATGGGTCATATGGGAAGTATGGGTCAGATGGGGCAGAGACCTCAAATGGGTCAGATGGGTCAAATGGGTAGCTATCCAATGGGGCAGATGGGTAATTTTCCTGCAGTACAAGGACTGCCTGCACAGGCAATGATGAACGGCGGAGGAGGATACTATCAAGGCGGTATGGGTCCCGGAAACCCGTATAATCAGCAGCAGCAACAATACATGGCTATGATGATGAATCAACAGAGAGCAGCAGCCAACGGTGGGAATGATATGTACCATCCGATGATGTACACCCGCCCGCAGCCGCCGCCGATGAACTACATGCCCCAACAGCCAATGCCATCAGGACCTCCATCTGATCCTTATGCCAACTACTTCAGTGATGAGAACCCTAATGGTTGTAGTATCATGTAGAAGTAATTTCTAGGGTTTCAGGCTATGTTTTTACTTATTTTTGTAGGATTATTGTGTTGTGGTGCTAAGCCGAAAGTAGTTTGAAAGTATTGAAGGAAGTACCATTGCTTATGCTACTTGGTAAATGGTAATGAGTAAGTTTTGTAGCTTGGTAAATGGTATTGCTTAACCTATTCAATGAGTGAATTATTAACTTCTGATTCGAAGTTTTCTAGGGTACAAACAGGTATGAACTTGACAGATCACGACAATTGTAATTTATTTGTATTGTAAATGTGTTGTAATATCAAGGACGTGTTTTGAGCCTCCTCGTTAAATTAGAATAGCCATTGATGATTTGTTTAGGCATTATTGAGTTCGGTTTTGCGAAGTGGTTCTCGAATTCAAAATGCATCGCGTGTAGGATTCAACTTGGAAATATTTAGGGGATCAATCTCTATCTGCTCAAATGATTAGGACCATCTCTTGACTTCCATTCCCTCACCTCACCGGCATCCACCCACCTTCATCAAGTCTTTTGCTTGGAAAACGCAACCTTATTGGCATTTTATATACAGAGCTATCAGTGCACACCAATATTAAAAGAAAATTTTGCCATATCAATATTTTTCTTGCTTGGTGGGGTATTAGATATGTATAGGTCGTTCTCTAATCTCTACCTAACTAAGGACATGGGTTCCATAAAAAAAAATAATAATAATAAAAACCAAGGAGATGGGTTTTATGAGCGTTTTATCATCTAAATAGACCATTAATAGATTATACTATGCTTGGTGGCTGGATTGTGTTTAAGCCAGTAGTATAAAGTCTTGTCTTTGTAGAAGAAGATAGACTTTCGCGTAACGAATTTACTATCATAGCGATATTCTGAGTCATTAGGTTAGGTGTAAGACTCTTTTCACATGAACTTATATTAATGATTTTGAACGTAATGATAGCAGTGAATTATTTCCACCTAAATCCTTCTCTAGGAAGAATTTGTAAAACACATTATGTTGGATTGTTATCCAATTTAATAAGTTCATTCCTAGTTCAAATCGAACCATCGAACCGGCATGCTATCTAACAAAAAGAAAGGAGAAATTATACAACCTGCACCTGTAATTTTCTTATTGAATAAAAACCTACATCAGTCAACTGAATAAAAAATAGTTGACTAGTTACCTGGGAAATTTGATGAGTAGCAGCCCATTGAATGATGTAACAAAGGCCATGAGCAGTGAAGATGCTAGGACTATGTGTCCAAGCCATTTATATGTGGTACAATTGTCAACAAATAGAACGAAGATATCCATAACATAGTTATGACACGCAGGTTATGTTATATCGATTCTCTATAGAACGTATAAAGTGCATTTCGTTTACCTCATTTCTTGTATTCTGTCAAGCAACCTTAATGAATAGAAATCCATAAAGTGTAAAGAGAATATGAATATTGTCACAAGAACCTAACATAGCTTATATTGCTAAGAATTCAAGATATTTATAATGTATAATGATAATGATTATACAATATTTTAAATTGTAAAGGTTTATAGAATTAAATTAAGATTGATGAAGATTCAAAGTAATGACTTTGTTTAGGATGACAGTTTCTCATTCGGAATTTGTAAAAACAAAATTTTGATCAAATCACACATCGCAATATACTAGGCCTCTAATTCTTTAAAAGGTTTACCTAAAAAATTCACGATATACCTAGAAAGACGATGAAAAAAAAGTCTGTGAGTTATAGAAAGTTCACTACTGTTATTACTCACGTGGATAGCATATGGCCTAAAAGAAGACTAGGGTTTGCAGCGGAAGTGATTGTGAAGACATGATTACTAAGGTGATCAATCAAAGAAACAAGTCACATGCATTCATTATAATCGTGAAGTAAGCATCCATCCACAAACAGGAAACATATTATAGTGAAGAAAGAGTCATGTCTAGGGCTTCAGACTAACCCCTAAGTACAAAGAGTTTAATTACTCATGTGCAATAATAAAATAGCAAACTAAAAATTCATCAAAAGCTTGAGACAACTGAGAAGAGACGGAAGAACCAGAGAGCACCAGAGCAATTCTTGTCTCGCGGCTGGTTTTCTAGAAAATCATCATTTATCTTAGCCGTTGATTTAATTTTGTGTATCTTTTACCTTTAATGATTAGATTAGAAGACCTAAATACTCTTTTAAAGTAGTGTCCTCACTTGTGCCTTGAAAGCTACTAAATCTCTAAAATCTTGACAATATTCGCAAATCTGCATGAAATCATCATTATGAGTTGTATGTGGTAAAATACCAATAAAGTCTACTAGAAAAACCGGAATCATAAACTGTAATATTCTCCAAACTAGAAATTTAGAGCTTTCCACATATGAGGTTCAATATTTGCGTTGTCCCGAGGAAGTGCAATTTAATCTTCCAACTTGACTGATCTGCACATCAAACCTCTACTTCCAGGGTGGAAAACATCTTTCAATCCCAAAATACTCTGTTTTAGCTTTAATTTCAATGTTATTGCTTGGGAACACAAATTTGAACAAAATTAGTGAAAAGTTAAGAAAAACATAAAATACGACACAAAAATTAAGTCTAAAAAGCAATAAAAATAGGTACGGAAACGAACCTATGCTCCTAAACACTTAACAATGCTCCTAAACAACTAACAATTCTCCCCTTTCTCTCTTTCTCCCTGCACCAACTACGGTTAATTAGGACCGACTACTGTTTGGCCATGCATATGTAATCTTGCTTTATAAACAATTAACAATGCTCCACAAATTAAGTGAGATGATTAGGGTTGCTTTTGTTTCAACCTGCCAAACTAAGAGCGGTGTCAAGTAGAAGCCAGAACCCAGTGACACTCTTTTGTTTGTTACTTAAAGCACAAGCTATTGCATGGCTGGGTACATGCCTCTTCACTGCCAAGTGCCAAGTACCCCTACACACTCACCAACACTTTGTTTTCGTGTCAAGATTTATGCTCATCTCTTTCCCTTTACATGTGAAACCCCCCACCCCCAACATTCGTAACGTCACATAAACTGGAAAAGTTTTCCAAAATCTATCAAAAAAGAACTCAATGCCGAAACCCTAAAATGTCCACATGCATGTCCATGACACTCTAGAGCCTGCCCTAAATTAGTAACCCTCGCACTATAAATTGCGAACTCCTCTCTCTCGTTCTTTGCCAATTCCCACGTTTCCTCTCTAGCCTCTAGGTATACAAAAACTTCTTCGTTCCAACTCAGAATTTGTTTCCAATTCCATCCATGGCTTCTTTCCTTCCCAATTTGCTCCTACTCTTCTCTTGCTTTTCCCTTCTCATTTTCACGTCTGTGGCGACAGTAAAAACCCGACCCCAAATCCCCATCAAGCCGAATAAGCTTGTCCTCAAGGTGCAGAAAGATGGGGCAACCAATCTTCATGTGGCCCAAATTTACAAAAGAAACCCTCCAGTCCAATTCCCCTTTGTGGTTGACTTAAATGGAAGGTTCTTATCAGTCAATTGTGAGAACCAGTACTTGTCATCGGGCTACAATGCTCCGGTTTGCCACTCAACACAGTGTGCTAGAGCCAATCCTAATAGCCAGATGACATGCCGCACATGCAGCTCATCTAGAACCCCACTAGGGTGCCACTCCAACGCGTGTGGGCTCATGACCACAAACCCTGTGACTCGCCAAAGTGCTATGGGTGAGCTTGCTCAAGATGTCCTCTCAATCCCATCAACCCAAGGCTCAAGCCCTGGCCCAATGGTCCAAGTTCCTCAATTCCTCTTTGCATGTGCACCTTCAAATATTATGCAAAAAGGCCTACCCAAAAATGTTCAAGGTTTTGCTGGCCTAGGCCACTCCCCAATTTCCCTACCCTACCAACTAGCCTCCCACTTCGGCTTTCCAGCAAAATTTGCCGTGTGCCTCCCTTCTGCACATGGCCAGAATGGCGTCATTTTCTTCGGGGAAGGACCCTATCTCATGAACCGGGGCATCGACGTGTCGCGCAAGTTGACCTACACCCCACTGACCATAGGCAGGCAAGGAGAGTACTACATAAACGTTCAATCCATCAAAATCAACAACAAGGTGGTTCCACTCAACACATCTCTCTTGCCCTACTCACCAAAACGAGGGGTTGGTGGGACAATGATCAGCACCACAGCTCCCTACACAATCCTCCAAACTTCAATCTTTAGGGCACTCACTCAGCTCTTCATCAATCAGCTCCAAGGGGTGCCCCAAGTGAAACCCGTGGCGCCATTCGGGGTGTGTTTCGATGCCAAGAGATTCGCCAGCAACAAGGCAGCGCTTACGGTTTCTAGCATAGACCTTGTTCTAGACAACAACCGGAACATCTGGAGGCTGTATGGTCATAACGTTATCGTTCAGCCAAGTCCCAACGTGGCGTGTCTAGGGTTTGTGGACGGTGGGTTGAGGCCTCAGGCTTCGATCGTGATCGGAGCACTCCAGTTGGAGGATAATCTGCTGCAGTTTGATTTGACGAACTCAAGGTTGGGATTTAGCTCTTCGTTGTTGTCCCGCAGGACTAGTTGTTCCAGCTTCAACTTTGGCAAATCCTCCACTGGTGCTGAAGAATCTACTGAATCCACCGATGAGCCATAAATTGTGATCTCCCTTGTGAGACGTGATACGTGAGGGTGTTTGTGTATGTTGATCAAATAAAGTCTATGTAAAATGTGAAGCTTTGTGCTTTGGTGTACGTAGTCTCTTCTATATCAAGGGACTGGATAAATAAAACTTTGTTAATTATTTGTTCATGTCTTCTTCTTGGTACCAACTCAATTTCAATTTTCTAACAATTTTCCGGAGTGAAAGATTGTTGGCCTCAAGTTGCAAATAGTAGTGTGCTCCCTTTTATACACCCAAGTTTGAATCTATCTTTCTCTAGTATAAATTAGATTAAACATTTCATTCCAATATAAAAAGAAACAACAATTTTCTTGTATGATGACGACAATTTTCTGATGTAACGACGATTACAATGTCATATTGTTTAACACTATATACCTTAGGCCCTTTTTGGTGTGACGACGATAATTTTTTAGTATGATAATGATTACGGTGTCACATTGTTTAACACTATATACGTCTTTTTGTTGTGACGACGGTTATAGCACCACGTAGTGTTTAACTCTACACTCCTGTCTCTGGGTCCATAACGTTGTTCACCTAGAACAAAACCAATTGTATGGTGTTTGCCAGGCCTAGGCTAGTCTCTGGCTAATTTTGTTGTTGGGCTACATATCATTTTTCTCAGCCAGTGAAGGTCAGCCTTCACTTGAAGAGCCCAAAGGGCCTTGTTATTTATTATTATTATTTTGTCCATTATCATTTTCCTCTTTATCTTTAAATCAAATAAATTTAAAAATATTAAGAGATAAAAATAAACATAAATGTATAATTTTTTTGTTTTTTTCAAATTATAAGATAAGCTTTAAGGTTCGATTTACTTAGTTCAATATAAATAAAACCCTCATCATGCGCTCCTTCATAACACAAAGAAAACTGAGTTATTAGTAACAACATGTATTCTTTGAAAATACAATTTATACCCTGTAATTTTATGAGGAGGGCGAGTATAATATAATTTTTTTTCAAGTAATTCAAATGTTTTTATGAGCAAAATTCAAATTTTAGTATTTATTTTTCATTCTAGTATTATTTGTGCAGTGTTTTTAGCTCAGTTAATTAAGAACACTACTTTTAAGTTTGAGGTTGGAGTTCAATTTTATCGTTTTTCAATATCGCTGGTATAAGAACGAGATATTAGATAATACTTAAGTACTGATTTGTGAATATTTTATGTACTTACTTTCCAATTTGATCTAATAAAAAAATATCACATATTTCTAATTTTTCAAAACAATAAAACATGTTTTAATTTATTATTGGACAAAATTAATGATGTATTTCTTATTTTTCAAAATAATAAAATATGTGTTAATTTATTATTGGACAAAATTAAGAGACGAGAAGAGTGAAAGACAATGGGCCCCACCGACGTGTCTTGTCCAATGACTGAGCAGTATATCCAAAGGGAAAAGGATCGGGTTATTTTTTTTTTTTTGGAGATCTTAGGGATCTCGTGATTGGAATTATCCATCGTATATTTTGAGATCAGAAATTTTTTTAAAATTTAAAATTAAATATAATAATATCTAACAAAAACTGATTATATGATATATAATGAACGATTGTGATCACGGAATCCTAAGATCGCAGAAAAAAGATCCAGCGATCCTATCCAAAGTTCACACTCTCTAATCTCTATATGTGTTTTATTATTCTCAAGTACAAAAGGAAAAAAAAACCCTCTGAAGTCTTCGTCTCTTCAAACCCACAAAAAGCGCACGCATTTTTCTTTCACGGACCAAAACCAGACGAAGCAGAAATCCAAGAAAACAAATCCCAGAAATAAAGAAAGAAAGTTGGAAAATGCATTCGTTCGGGTACAGAGCCAATGCTCTGCTGACCTTCGCAGTTACAATTTTGGCCCTGATGTGCGCCATGGCCTCCATTTCCGATAATCTCAACCACCCCAATCCCACTACGCAAGTCCAGGTTCTCTCTCTCTCTGTGGGGCAGATCTGCGATTTCAAAAATTTTGACTTTTGGGTTCGAATTTAAATACCCAGTTGGATTTTGTTTCTGATATGCTTGTTGGGTTTTTCTTTAGGTGCTGAATATTAATTGGTTTCAGAAGCAACCGAACGGGAACGACGAGGTGCATTTCTTTCAATTTTTTTTAATAATTTAATTTGTAGTTTTTGGGTTATATGTGAAATTTCTTTGAATTTGAATTCAATTTTGTATTGGCTGAAATGGGTGTTCACTGAATTTCGATTATACTGAGTCTCTGGATAGTATTTGATTAATCCAGTTTAAACATTGGTACTTTGGGCTTTTGTGTTTATTTTCTGTATCAAATTTTCATGGGCATGCACTCGGTGCTAAATTTCCTGGTCTTGTGTTTTAGTTTCAGTACATAATATGTGAATTTCATCTAGGTATGCATTTTGTGAATTGAAGGTTGGGTTTATACAACGGTGGTATAAGGATCGTAGAGAGCTTAATCACCCCCTTCTGACATGTTGGTGCGAGCCCATTGGCTTATGGGTTTATAACTAAATTACTGATTAAGTAGTTGTATCACTGTCTTAAAAACTTGTAAAACATGTGGTATTTTGTTATGCTCCTCGCTCAAAATGGAGGCCTATAGTCAAATTATAGGTGGTAGTTTCCGTGTTGAGGTTTGGGACGGGATATAAGAGAACAGAGTGGGATCATTCCATTTGGGACGGGATTATAGGTGGTAGTTTCCGTGTTGACGCCTAACATTTCTCTTTCCCAATGTTGGCTTGAACTTTTAAGTAGATAAGGTATAACATTCTATTTGCGTAGTTAATATTAAGGTTTATTTATCTGGCTGGGGTGGGTCTAGAGATTGGGTGTAACCTCAGAGTATTGACAGATAGTTACATGTCTATAGGGCATGAGCTGAGCTCACAATATTTATTTAAGTGATTCCTCTACCAATAGGAAAACAGGTAAAATAAAACACAAGGGAATTTGCTTGGGCTGAAAGTTATAGTAAACCTGACTGGCAGCAATTCAACTGCTCCCTAGGTTCTTGAACTGTTGTCCTATTTCCGTTGGTTACACTTTGAATCATGAACTTCGGATTTGCTTCTTTGATTTATAGTGACCATGATGGTTGGGTGATTGAAAAAGGAAGATTATGTTTATGAACGGTCTTTGAATCACAGTTTGGTATGAACTAACATGATTTTCGTTTTATGCAGGTCAGCATGACTATGAATATATCAGCAGACTTGCAGTCATTGTTTACATGGAATACAAAGCAGGTTTGCAATTTCACAAATTTGTGTGTGTATGTGTTAGCATTCATGATCACTTAAATTATTTTAGTATATTCTGTGCATGCGTTAAGTAGTCTTTTGGGTACACTTCGCCGAACTCTATGAAATTCAAAACCTACCATTTGTGTTGAGAAACGGTTTTTGTTGGCATGGTTGACTGCATTATTTTATAGGGTCTGGTGAAATTTAAGTTGTGCATACCACAATTAGAAAATTCAGTCTCTTTATTTTCCAGCCAGTACCCTGATCCCTTTTACTTTATCTGCAATGCATGACAGGTTTTTGTTTTTCTAGCCGCTGAGTATGGAACCCCAAAGAACTCACTGAATCAGGTATCTGCACATATATGTTTCAAGTTATATTTCTGGTTAGTTATATGTTTCGATTTTGCTTTTCTTGAGGTAAAAATTGAGCTTTCACTGAATAACTGTTTTTCCATTTGTTTTGCTTGTATGTGTCCCTCGGATCCGCATATCCACTCCATAGTATCGGCTTGTAGACTGCACAGTGCTTTAGTTATTGCTTAAATAAGTCTTTGCTTAAAGTTTTAACACTATTCTACAGATCTCTCTTTGGGATGGTATCTTACCAACCAAGGAACATGCCAAGTTTTGGATTCATACTTCAAACAAGTACCGCTTCATTGATCAGGTATGAGCAGTCGCTTTCATTTTTTGCATCTGTTTCTTGGCTTCATCGGAGACTAAGGTCTATTGTAGTTTCTTGGCTCCATCGATAACTGACTCTCTTTGTAATTCATCTTTGTGTAGGGAACCAATCTCCGGGGTAAAGAATTCAACTTGACATTGCACTGGCACGTCATGCCCAAGACGGGCAAAATGTTCGCTGACAAGATCGTCATGCCGGGATATCGCTTGCCACAGGAGTATAGATGATGGGGAGGTGCGTTGTCTTGTGTATCTTTTTCTCTGTAGCTTTGGCCTCTATTCCGAAAGGGATACAAATTAGAGACATAGAAACAGGGAAGGTTTTTTACTTGTTATGAGAAAAAGAAATATACGAGGTTTGATCATATTTTTGGATTCTCTTAACTTTGGTTGCTAATTTATTGCCTTGAACTGGAAGATACTTGCAGGCTTGTGAACGAAAGTTGTTTTAGATTTGGATAATGCTAGGGAGATCAAAATTTTAAACTAATTTTTTAAAACCAAACGAAGTGCCAGTTGATGATTGGATTATTACTTAAATGTTAATTAACGTGTTAATTTTTTATTGGTGACACATCATTTGATTTGAAAATTTGTTTTAAAAATTTGCACAGCCACATTTTCACATAAATATTGCCTCAAAATGTCTTAACATTGCCACAAAATATGTTAACAAGATTCGCTCGATCCAAAGAGAGAGAATCAGAGATAAAAAGTAGCAGATCGACTGGTGGTGGGTTACTAGGTTGTATGTGGTGATAGTGGTGTGGTGGAGGGAGATCGAAGAGGGTGGTCGTAGACTTGTGGCTAGTCGGAGTTGAAGTTCGAGATTGAGATTCGAGAGTGCAGTTCGAGAGATAAGAGTGTTTGATTTAGGGAGCGTTTGATTTAGGGCTGAGAAAAACATTAGATGGTCGAGATTAAATCTCAATCGATCCAATGGTCATCAATTTTCTAAATTTAATATATATAGATGTATTTATATTTTAACTTTCAATTTGTTATCCTACTGCTGTTAGTTATAGTTTTATTTTTAGATGTATAAAGTTAGTAAATTAATATTTTCTTATCGTGTGACATGTTACTCACATATATACTTGGATTGACCTGTTATCTTAGTAGGTGCTTATCTGGTTATCCTAACGATCCAATTCCTTATCGTGTCGACCAGAAAACCTATTAATTTCATGTCTTTTCGTGTCGGGTTAATGGGTCGTATTAGAAATTGTCAGGGCCACCCAAATCTGTGTTTTAATTTAATCCAAAAGGATTAAAGAGAGAGTAAATTAGGGATTAAGGTTTTACACATCCAAGTGGGAAAAGGGTTAGCTGGGACGAAAAGGTAGGGGGAGTCAAGTGTGGAACAAGGCCGAAGTAAGATATGGTCAAAGATATGAAAGTGTTTGAAATAACAATTGAGGTTAGTAAAATTTATCAACAAGGTAGCTATCTAGTGCTTGGTTTGTTGTACGAGAATGGGACTTTCATAATTGGGATGGTCTTGAGTTAGAATAATTGTTTAATACTTTGTCTTCGAATGTAAACATTTCCATTCAAATATAATAAAATTTATTTCTTTTATAAAACAAAGGGGGTTAATTTCTTGCGGCAAAAAGGACAATATTTTAAAAAATTAGTATTCTACTAGCAGTCTTAGCACGAAGAGCAAGAGAGAGAAACTAGAGAGAGGGGAAGTGGAGAGTAGTGGACTTGGTTGACAAGTAGACTAAACTAATCATCCACGATTAGGTACAATAGGGCCACAGATCCTCTGTCCCGAAAAATGTGTTTCCTTCGTGTCTCCTTGAAAATTTTCGACGCTTATCCTCCAATTTAACCAAGACTCAATGATTAAATTAATCTAGAGGTTTATATAAAGAAAGGTATTCACAGGTCTTCAAAATGAGGATCTGTTGGTATTTGAAATGTTTTATTGCATCCTTTCTTATAATAAACCAAAAAGAAAAAGAATAGTGCTAAACTTATGATTTATCTGTATCATTTCTTTAATAGAGGTAAGACCCACCAATTTATATGACTCTCATACCTATTAGAGGAATAATATAAATAATGGTACAAATAGATAATAAAAGTATCATTTTTGTTAAAAAATACAAAAATGTCAGCTAGTGAAACTCCTTTTGTTAACTAATACAAAGTGTGTGAATTTTTTTCTTTTGTTGTTAAAATTGAAGGAGAGAGGAAGAGAGAGAGAGAGAGAGAGAGAGAGAGAAAAACGTGGGAGTGTGGAGGGAGGGAGAGAGGTTGTTTTTAATTTTATTTTATTTTAATTAAAGATGATAAAATTACATATATGTGAAGTGAAAAAAGGGAAGTGTTATTTGCATTTCAAAAATTTCATTCTACACTTCTCACAAGTGTATTTTTCTTTCCTAATATAGAAAGTTTGGAGTACAGAATGAGATTTTTGAAGTGCTAATAACAATTCCCTAAAAAAAACAACAAAATTTTGTCTTGTAAAATTAGGTTATTGTCCTTAACTTTTTTATTGTGATAGAAGACAAAGATGTCTTTTCACATTCTTTTAGTTGATAAATAATGTTTCATTAATGTAGTTTTACATATGATTTTTATGAAAAAGACAACTTTTCTTTTGGCAAAAAATAAAATCATTTATACAAATTAAACTAAAGGGTAATGTTAGGGAGACTAAAGTTGGAGACTAAATTGCAAATTAAATGATGTGTCACCAATAGGAATGAACACGTTTATCAACACTTAAGTAATAAATCAATCATCAACTTTCATGTTTTTTAGTTTTGAAATTTTAACCTACAAATTTAGTCTTCCTAGTATTATTGTAAATTAAATTACTTGAGGATTTAAGGCAGAGGGAAACACCATATTGCCAATTTGACTAAGCTGCAACAATACAAAAAATATTAAGATTGAATTCACCTTCTTTTAAAAGCACAAAATATTAATTTATTCATTATTATTATTATAAAACTATTTTATGACAAATAATATTTCTAGAAGAGTTTTGCTCAATAAAGTGAAGTTTTTATACAATTCAATTACTGAATGATCTCATAATTTATTAGTTTTTTGCACATATGATTTTTGCATAATTATTTACAATATAAATGATTTGATTATAAATACAAAGCTTCGTAAATCGACCACGTAGGAAATTCAAAACTTCCTACTCACATTGAGAAGCTAAGTTAAGTTTATTATATTTGTCTGAGATTTTTGTTGTTTTTTTTTTTTCATTATTTGGAAAGGGGTGTGATATCCACAAACCCTATTTTATTTCTCACATATTTTTTTAATTTTCGACTGTCAGACCGGATAAATTGAAGAAAATTAACGGATAAAAATTATCAAAGATGTGTAAGAAGTAAAATGGGATGTGTGGCCCTCTTGGAAATACTTGTGGTAAATTCGATAAAGTGAGGCTTCGAGGAAATCACCATCTACCATTCCGCGTTCGAGAAAATTTCCAGATAAGGCAGGAAAACGTATAAAGCACCAACTTTGCATTCCTATTGCATATATGCAAGAAACGATCTCACTGCCTATATATATGCGCATCGCAAAGAATCATACCATTAGCAGATTGATTTAGCTCATACTCACAAATTTTTTCTAGGGTTTTCGAATTTCAAAGAGACAAGCCGAAAGACGTAGTGCTTGCTCACTCTGCTCCCAACGCCCCTCCACCGCCGGTCCACCGCACCACCAAAAGGGCAGGCACGAGAGAGAAGCCGAAAGAAGTAGTGCTTAATCTGTGCGCTCCCATTCCCAACGCCTCTCCACCGCCGCTCCAGACCACCACCAAAATGGCTGGCACAAGAGAGGAGGAAGAAGTAGCACTTACTCTCTCTCCCTTCCCAACGCCCCTCCACTGCCGCTCCAGACCACCACCAAAATGGCAGGCACGGGAGAGAAGGAGGAAGAAGTAGCACTTACTCTCTCCCTTCCCAACGCCCCTCCACCGCCGGTCAACATCACAACCGCTGCCACCAACGACGGCACGAAAAGTGAGTACAGCCTTCGACAGAAGAGAAAACAAGTAGAGGGAGCAGCAGTGCCGGATCCCACGGAGTCTTCGAGCCATGATGATTATACCCCACCAGTTACCAATGGTCGTAAACAAAAAGAAGATGAGATCGTCCACGAGATAATAAAAGATCAGAAAAATCAGGAGAAACTTGTTGGTGAGAATATTGTTATTAAGAAAGAAATTGGCTCGTCGTCCTCTTGTGGTGAAAAGGTAAAAAAATCATCGTCGACTTCTTCAACTGCAGGTAACAAGGAGACGAAGAGGAAGGAGAAGAAGAAAAAGGAGACGAAGAAGAAGACGACGGAGGTGGTTGATGTTTTGTGGGACATTCCTGGGGAGATTCCCGACCTGGATTTACTGGAGAAAGAGAAATATCGGCTTTGGTATAGGTTCTTTGATGGAATTCCCGAAGACTGAGCAAATAGCGCCTGTTGCGAAGTAAGGATTGTTGCCGATTATCAACCTGCAAGATTGTACCAGGAATGCCACAGGATTGCAGGATTGAAAGATTGCGGCAGCAAGAGTTTCAAGTTGGCTTCTTGTTTCAATTCGAATGTAAATGAACGGTCAAGATGGTGTTTTAAGTTTGTCCCGTGTATTGCACGTGAGCTTGCTTCCACAAGCACATCGCGTGAAAGCCCTACTGTAATATTTTGTCCTATTTACTGACGTTTTGTGTGAATGTGCGTGTCTGGTCGAATCCAACCCATTAGAGAGAGCAACGTACTCTCCATTTTCTGCAGAGCTTCGTTGTTGTTCTTTCTTTGACAATTTCTCCAGTAACAAAACCATACAAAATACACAGAAATTCATAAATCAATATGACCTCAGAGCTTGGTTCGGTTTGAATCGAGGGGCGTTCACTGTGATTCTTGAATTCAGTTGAGTTCCAACGAAGAGTCAGTTGAATCGGACTGAAATGTCTGGATCTAGAGATGAGCTTCGAGCTCCAGTATTCACCGGTGTCAACTATGACTTCTGGTGTATCAAGATGAAGATGACCTTTAAATCTCATAATCTATGGAAGATTGTTGAAGAATGGTATGATGAGCCTACGGAAGTTGAAGGTGAGCAAGCTGAGAAGAAGCAAATCTCGCGCAGCTCAAGATCTAATTGCTCGAGATGCTAGAGCCTTTGGATTGATTCAAAATGCGGTATCGGATGAGATTTTTCCAGAGAAGTGCAATCATGAAACAACTAAGGAGGCTTGGGACACCTTGAAGCAAGAATATAGGGGTGATTCTCAAGTACGAGCTGTGAAACTACAAGGTATTATAAGGGATTTTGAATATGCTTGTATGATGGATGATGGAATGATGTCTTCCTATTTGACTAGACTATTTGATCTAATTAATCAAATGAAAATGTATGGTGAGAAATGTCAAATAAGATGATACTTGAAAAATTATTGATTTGCTTGACTCCTTGCCTAAAATGCATGGACAAGGACACGAATACGGGGATACAATACGACTATGTCAAATTTATAAAAACAAAAACATGATACAGCAAGGATACGACACTTAAAAATAATATAAATAAATATATATATATATATATCTAAATTATTATAAAATAAGCATTTAAATATACTATTCAAGTTCAAATTTATTTTGATAAACTTCAAACATTTCAAAAGATAATCCGCTAAACAATTAAATTAATCTTCAAACTTGAAAAACTAAAAAGAATATCCAAACGACTTAAAAAATAAAAAGAAAGAGTCCCTCATTCTCAAACTACCTTTTTTCATTTATGCAAGAGCTTCAACAGTAACCTTGTTGCAAGAGACAATCTCATTCCGAGACATTTTTAACAAATGAAACTTGACCCTAGAGTAGGATCCTCTAAAAATCTTTTGACAATAGTTGCATTGAAACACAGTACCTCATTTTCTATTTTCCATTCTTTCGAGCTTTTTGACTTACTTTCACACTGTACCATGATCATTTTCAACATTCTCAACTGGGTTAATATTAGCATTCGCATAATTATCAAGATGATTTATTTTCCTAAATTACCAACATGTAAGAATCAATCCAAAGTAATCGCATAAATGTTACAAGTCAAATTTATACTAAGAGATCAACTAAACAACATAAAAGCATATATAAATATATTATAATCTAAAATATTCTAGACCACTAACAATAATATTATTATAATATGCAAAAACAGAAAAGCAAAGCAGGTTTGCAATTTGACAAATTTGTGTGTGTTTGTGTCAGCATGACTATGAATATGTCAGCAGACTTGCAGTCATTGTTTACATGGAAAACAAAGCAGGTTTGAAATTTGACAAATTTGTGTGTGTTTGTGTCAGCATGCATGCATGACCGCTTAAACTATTTTAGTATATTCTCTGCATGTTTGACTCTTTGGGTACACTATGATAATCACTGTTTACTTTTTAGAGAGTGATAGCAACTATCATGCATGCAAGAAAATTTTCATTTAACACAAATGATATATTATGTATTTTCATATAAATAGTGAAAAATTTTAATATTTAAATTATTAACCGTATATAATGATACGTGATGTGTCATTCTGTATTTCGATCATACTGAAAAATCTCTCCATAGATAGGACTAGAAGCACCAACCAAAATTCAAAACCTACGTTCATTTGTGGTGTATCGCTATTTATATATGTTTCGAATTTGCTTTTCTTGAGGTCAAAATTGAGATTAACAGCTCTTCTCTTTCACCGAATAACTGTTTTTCCATTTGTTTTGCTTGTGTATATGTGTCCCTCGGATCCGCATATCCACTCTATAGTATCTACTAGGGCTTGTAGACTGCACAGTGCTTTAGTTATTGCTTAAATAAGTCTTTGCTTAAAGTTTTAACACTATTTTACAGATCTCTCTTTGGGATGGTATATATCTTACCAACCAAAGAACATGCCCAAAGAACATGCCAAGTTTTGGATGCATACTTCAAAGTTCAAACACGTACCGTTTCATTGATCAGGTACGAGCAGTCTCTTTCTTTCTTTGCATCTGTTTCTTGGCTTCATCAGGACGAAGATCTGTTGTAGTTTCTTGGCTCCATCGATAACTGACTCTCTTTGGAATTCATCTTTGTGTAGGGAACCAATCTTCGGGGTAAAGAATTCAACTTGACGTTGCACTGGCACGTTATGCCCAAGACGGGCAAAATGTTCGCTGACAAGATAGTCATGCCGGGATATCGCTTGCCACTGCAGGAGTATAGATGATGAGGGGGTGCTTTGTCTTGTGTATCTTTTTCTCTGTAGAGATACAAATTAGAGACGTAGAAACAGGGAAGGCTTTTTCCTTGTTATGAGAAAAAGAAATATATGATGTTTGATCTTATTTTTGGATTCTCTTAACTTTGGTTGCTAATTTATTGCCTTGAGCTGGAAGGAAGATACTTGCATGCCTGGCAGATTGATGGTTGAATTATTACTTAAGTTTTAATTAACGTACTTATTTTCTATTGGTGACACGTCATCTGGTTTGAAAATTTGTTTTAAAAATTTGGTGTACCTAACTTACCGTTTAGATTTACATTAGAGAAATCTTATTGGTAGTCCAAAAATCTCATTTTGCACCCCAAATTTTCTATAGATAGAAATAAAATTACACCGGTGATGAGTGTAGAATGAAATCTTTAAAGTGTTAATAACAGTTCTCTTTTATAAAAAAATAAAAAATAAAAAATAATTAAAAAAAACACTTATGTGGACCTAACACCCAGAACTTGGAGTTTTCGACTTTCGCCCTTATAGTTTGTTTGATTTAGGTACAAATTACTAAGGGTCAGTTTGAATACAGCTACGAAATAAATTTTAGTTTCTCCAGAATCTGAAAACTAAAAATAAGCCGAATTCTAAAGGTGCACAAGAATAGCTCTGAAAATAGTTACCAAACAAGTTTTTAATTTAAAAAAATAAAAATAAAAATAAAAACAAGAATAAAAATAAAATAGTTTATCAAACGACACTTCAAACAAATTTGTGAAAACCAAACCAATCCTCGGATTTTTCGGTTTATTGGATTGGGGGAGAGGGAAGGGAATGGAGGGATAATCGGAGATCCGACGAAGAGGCTGAGCAGGCGGTGGTTGGCAGTGCGTGAGTTGGAGCGGAGAGAGAGAAGTAGAGCATCGATGCAAGATATACCTCACTATCTCTCCTACTTGTTTCTTCTTGCATGGTGACGCAGACGGAGAGAAAAATGGTAACTAAATACTGAAGAGTAAAAAGAGTCGTCGATGCCTAACAAGGCTAAACTGTCATGCGCCTGAGCGCAGAGAATCTTGCCTAGGATCGTCCCAATTCCCGTTGGCGATCTTAGATCATTACGATCAAATCCCTATAAAAATACAGACTTGCTAGTTGTCAACCAAGTCCACACACACGCTCTCTCTAGTTTCTCTCTTTAGATCTTGTTTCCTCTTTGTGCTAGACTGCTAGTAGAACCCTAACGTTTGAAGATATTGTCCTTTGGGCGCAAGGAACTAAACCCCTTACCTACTTGGATTTGGAAACCCCTAATCCCTAATTTACTTTCTCCTAATCCTTAATCCTTTTGAATTAAATTAAAGCACGGATTTGGGGAAATTGCACCGTTTAAGTTACAATCCCTATAAATACACATATACACACGTTCTTTGTAGCCCAATTCCACTTTTCTTCACTACTCTTGCTACGGACGTACTCTCTCTCTCTCTCTCTCTCTCTCTCTCTCTCTCTCTCTAACATTGATATTTTTTTTTATATGCTTTGTGAAACGAAGCACTCAGGACTCATGGAGGATTCAAGCAACTCCGGTTCGAGAAGGCAAAAAGCGAGAGAGATGCCGCTGAGACAAGTCGTGCTTGCTCTCGCCGCTCCCAGTGCCTTTCCTCCGCCGCATCTCCAAACCACCACCACCAAAATGTCAGGTAGGAGAGAGAAGTCAAAAGAGGCAGTGCTTGATCAGTGCGCCCCTCTACCACAGCTCCAGACCACCCCCACCACCGACAGGGCAGGCACAAGAGAGAAGACGGAAGAAGTAGCACTTGCTCTCTCCCCTCACAATGCCCCTCCACAGCCGCTCAACATCACCACAACCGACGGCACCAAAAGTGACTACAGCGTTCGACCCAAACCACCACCCTCAAACCCCGCCTGCCACGGACAGAAGAGAAAACAAGAAAAGGGAGCATCGGCGTCGGCACCACAACGACCTGAAAAAAAGAAGCCGAGGTTGGAGGTGGTTCACGTTCGCTTTTTGGACCCGGATGCCACGGAGTCTTCAAGTGATGATGATCACACTCCACCGGTTACTAATGGTCGTAAACGAAAAGAAGTTGAGATCGTTCACGAGATAAAGATACTGGGGGAAAACCTTAATACAAAGAGGCGTAAGACGCAAGAAACGATTACAAAAACAAGAAGGAAGATAAAAAAAGATCAGAAAACTGAGGAAGAACTTGTTGGTGAGAAGATTGTTATTAAGAAACAAATTGGCTCATCTTCTTCTTGTGGTGAAAAGGTAAAAAAACCATCGTCGACTTCATTAACGTCGGGTAAAAAAGAGACGAAGGAGACGGAGACGAAGAAGAAGACGACGAAGGAGGCTGTTGAGGTTTTGTGGGACATTCCCGGGGAGATTCCCGACCTGGATTTACTGGAGCAAGAGAAACATCGGCTTTTGTATAGGTTCTTTGATGGAATTCCCGAAGACTGTGAGGACATACCGCCGGAGGTGAAGGTGGTTAAATAATCTTAATTACTTTAATTTTTAGTTTTATTCCACTTTTAACAGATATATGTAGGTGGGTTGTCACCATGAATTTTTCAGTATGTTGGGAACATGATTAGATATAGCAAGTGTTATAATATAATTTTGATAAAAAAAAAATGTTATAATACAAGTAGTTGGATACTTAAACAAATTTTTTTTTCTAACCACTTGTATTACGACATTTAGTGCCCCAGCCTTTGTTACTGGTTATGCTCCAAATATGATCATGCTTGTAACTGGTTTTTTTGAATTTTGATAATAGAGAAAATTTAATGAATTATATTGTATATGTTCATTTAATTGTGATTATTTTATGAATAATGTCCCAAAGGCGAAAAAACTACTTACAATCTCGAGATTTTATTATTTTCTCTAAATTTTAATCAAGTACTGATTGCTATGGGAACATGAGATATCTCTGCTACATTCAACATCTCTGCCCAATTTTCTGGGAATGAAATGAAATTTGTAGATAACAAAAAATTTCATGATTTTACTCACAATTACACCATACAAAATTACAAATCACCCATTTTTTCTCCTTCGGTAAAAGAAAAACGAAATTTGTCTATTTGTTGAAGGAAAATTTAGAGAGGGAGTATAGGAGCGGGAATCGGGATGGCGAGGGAGAGAGAAAGGAGTGTTCAACCGTTA